TTTTTTTTTAGTTTAGCGAAAGAACTAGATACTTGTGAAGTAAAAATAATTTTTTGAAAACGTTTTTTGAGTAAGTAATCTAGCCACTCAATAATTTATTGAAAAGTTTCTTGTATTAACCGGAAAAGTTCAAGTTTACTTATGATTTTCTGTGCTTATTGAAGTGTTTGGGATGAAACAGTGCATTGGGACGTACAAGAACTGCTCTATTTTTTAACACGGTTCTGTTATTGGCTATCTGCTCATCATCAACGAATTGTCTGTGAGGCTGATGGAAGAGGTTAGTAGATAAAATGAGAAAATTTCCGAGCTTTAATTATTATATCGATATTAATGTTTTACTGCTGCTTCGTTGCAGGAGGTTGAGCATACAGCTTCTTACGATGGCTGGATTAGCGGATTTGCAAAGCGTCGATTTAGCACAAATCCAGTTCGATGTATTCCGCTTCGAAGGCAACTTCACCATCACCCGAGCAAAACAGAATTGTACACCAAGGAGGAAGAAATACCACTGAAAGGTGTACATTAAAATATTGAAAAAACTACTTTCAGAAGGAAATGTTGCATACTAATTGTTTTTGAATTTCTTCTTCATATACTATTCTTAAATAGGATTGCTTCACAAGATTAAATTTTATGAAGACTTGAAATGGCACGAATTCCAACAAGAAATCAAACAGTAAATTTGGCGTACCAACTGCAGTCTTGAGCATTCAGTAATTGCTTGTATTATGTAAGACCATGATCTGCATTTTAATAAGATTTGATTTTCTAATAGTGATTAACGGTTCGCTTGGTTATAACAACATTTTGGATGCCCTAAATGGATGGCAGTTAGTTAGCGAGCTGTCCCAAGCAACTGGTTTTCCTGCGGTGTCATCTTTCAAACAAGTAAACCCGGCAGGCGCGGCTATAGGAATACCTCTGAGCAAAACAGAAGCAAGGGCATACATGGTAGATGATATGCCATTAAATCCAAACTATCCATCTTTAGCAGCTGCTTATGCCAGAGCAACAGGTTTGTTTCTAGAACTTTGCTGAAGCTTGTTCGTCGTAAGTGTGAGTCACCTCGTAAGCTCTCACACTTATTCTAGCTTTTATTATCTACTACCTACAAGCTTGCTCCTCACTCAGTAACTTATACTTACGCTTTATATGAAGAAGGTATGCGCTGCTTTTGGGTAAGGCTAACTAGCTTTTTTACTGTTCGCCTTAACATCACGATTGTATTAAAACAAAATTATTAACGTTTCATGGTCAAAGCAAAACCTTCGTGCTTAATTTTTAAAAAGCTTTCGAGTATTGTTTTTAAACCCTTGTTAACCTCAACTTCTACTTTTTTCTTGATTGTTGGAAAAGTTTGATCAAGTTGTTTATCATTCATCGCTTTGAAATCTTTTGGAAGATAATCAACGAAAAATTAAAAGTTTGCCTAGTTTTAGCTACTCATTCCGGTTGTAAATCGCTTTTATTATCAACTTGAAGAATCCATTTCTATTTAAACCGTCATTCGTTAAGATTTATGATTTTGAATGACCCAGAACAGCGTTTTCCATTTTTATAAAAAGTCATTCTAGGAGTTGATCGTATGTCTTCATTGGGAAATTTCATTGCTTTATCAGAAAAATGTGACGAACTGACGGCAAGGCTCATTAGTCGAGAGATTTCTGAAGGTGTTGTTGCGCCGGATTATGATAGCCTAGCTTTGAACATTCTAGCTAAAAAAAAGTCAGGAAACTACGTTATACTCAAGGTTTTTTTATGCATCAAAGCTTGTATTGAACTGTTCTGTTGCCATTGTGAATGTTTTGCCACTTGAATATTTACATTTTTGTGCTGCCGGCAACACTGTCATACTTTTTAAAAAACCTTAAGCACTGGTTGTTTTTTGCCTGTATGAGTTTAATCACCTCCACTTTTCTAAATTTTATATTAGAAGATTTTCCTGCTTGTCTAAACACCATTTTACAATTAATCTATTTTCCAGAACTAATCCTTAAACTTATCTGCCTCGGCAAGCTGCTATTTCTTTAATACTTGACGGTTCTAGTTTTTTTCTCCAACCTTGAAAGATCTAAAGTTGTTATAAAGGTTCAAGATACTGAGCATTTTGAGAAAATGTGGTTTCAGTCAATCTGTATTTATTTCAAGCAAAGTAGTAAACGATATTTAGTACTTCAGATAGATGCAGAGTACCTGCCTTCTAAATGTGAAGAACGAACAGTATATGGGCTTCGTTTGAAGCAGAAGCGGAACAGCGTTTGTATCAAACCGGAGGTTTTTGGAAATATTTTATCAAAGTCGAAGAAAGCAAGTATTTTAGTTACTTTATTCTATGATATTGTTTCTCCATTTGAAAGTTGCGCAGACCGTTGAAAATTTCAGTTGCCAAAATCAGCATTAAACGACTTAATAGTTGCAACAATTGCCGTGAAATACAAAAAGTTTAAAAGCGTTTGTTATGCATATCGTGGACAGGTTTGTCGAAAGATCAATTTGAAATCACCCTTTGCTTAATGTGTTGCATACCACACTATCATCTACCTACTATTTTCGAAATTACATCCACTTATGAATGACCAAATTTATTATGCAGAAACTGTCTTCATTTTAGGTGATTGGGCTAGGGACCAGTCAGCAGTCTGATACTCAGTCCTTGCATTTAGCAGGAGAAAAAGCAGCAAACTGGTTAATTTTAAAATTTTACAATTTGGGTGTCAGTGACTAGCAATGTTGCTATTTTTCCAGGTGGATGAGACAACACGAACGTATCTTAAAATTACCGTGGCATCCTTCAATAAGGCGCGCAGAACGCTTAAACACTGTCGAAGTTATGATATCTGCTACTCTTGGCCAAGGAATCTCTGAAGAGTACTGGAAAAATCATTTTGCTGAACCTGTAGAACCACTCAGCAGCGTAAGTTTCTTTAAAATATTCATGGTCTAAACGTGCTTCAGCGTAAAAATTCAATTTTTTATGTTCCTATTTTGTGTCAGTAGATTGTTTTTGCAAAAAACTAGGCAGACTGAGAATTCTGTCTGATTCGTTTAGGAGGAAAGAGAAAAATGGATTTCTTCACTTACAAATGTTGCTGTCAGCTCGAGTGCGTCATTAACTTTCCACAACAGTATCGACTGTGTTAAACAGGTAATGTTAAACGAAATTTTGGCAAGGTGTTTGCAAACAAGATGATCACGATGACAAACAAAACCAAGATATTTTTTCTTACGTCTGAACTCATTTTGCAGGCTTGAAAATAACACAGAAATCTTCTAAAACATTATCATCATACATTCTTTTCAGTACGGAGTTAAGTATGTTGCAATTACTGGTGGTTCTGCTCAGGATCACGGTATAGTCGAAGCCTTCGATCGGTGTGGAATGACTCTAATAAATATGCAGCTCAGACGTTCCAAAAATTAAGATAACTTGGATTTTCTCACGTTTTGTTCCTTACCGTTTCGAAAAAATACCATATTTCAAAAATAAAAAGTTAAAACATTTCCAATTTTTGCAATGCGAACGTTCTAACCATTACAAAGATCTTTAATTCACTACATTTTAACTTTTAGACTGAGTCAGTAGTTCACGAAGAAAAGCCAGTAAAGAATTGAAAACGCTTCACACTGAATAACAGCGAAGTCAAACTTTAAACTTTAAACAGCATAAATACAAGAAATCCACACTTTAAATACCATTTAACTAATATACAATGCTCGGCCAATCAATATGTGGAAATTGAGTGTTCTACGCTATGACGTTTCACAACAACGCGTCGTCGACTGCATTCTTTTTAGTGAGTTTATAATCACAGTCCTATACGACTAGAAGGCTTAAAACTGTTTAACAAAACAAATTCTTGTTCAGTCTTTAAGCCACTAACCATTTTTTGGACTGTCCGAAAACATTTATGCACCGGCAGTATCTTAGCTGAACATGCAGAACTTAGTGGCCCATGGTGTTTTTCAAAAGGCAATTCAAAAAACGCACATGAACGTACAAGTGAAAAATGTCGGATGTCATAAAGAGAGACCAACAAACGAACTGTTGAGACTACCGGCAGTAATCTTAATTGAGGAGATGTCTTCTCTTTTAGATATGTCTTTAAGAAAACTTTATTTCTACTTTTAACCACTGTAAGCAATATTAGCCGTCCGCGCTCACAGTACCAACGTTCCTGATGGACCTTAATCGATAATTCTCACCGAATTTTTGATTGCTCTTAACACTTATTCTGATGTATAACCTTTTCCTTAACCCGACGATAACCTTACAATATGAAAGAAAAGACGTTGGGCACTTGTTCTCTATCTTAACTGATCTTGCGACTACCAACACTTTTTTTAATTGAAGGACAATCGGAGCCTTTTCCCTACAACGCTCTTTGAGAGCTCGATGGTTTTTTTTTTTCTCTATACTGCAGACCCAATAGTCGCTCAAACGCTACAGCACCAACCACTAATAACGTGCTTTATTTGGTCACGTTTGAGAACTGTCTTTTAGATACTACCTATGGTAATAATAAAACCTAGATCTAACGACTGTTAAGTGTGGATGTCTATATATTCTTGATAGATTTATTTTCGATAAGTATTTTCGTACACGGGTATAAAAGACTTCTTATGTATCCTACAAAACTGCCACTGAACAAAACGACAAACTGATTTGATTGTTAGTCTTTAAAAGTGTTTTGATTACTGCTCAAATAATTGCAACAGTAAGAACAGATTTGAATGTTATATAATTGTTACACTCTTCTGTAATTTAATATCAAATTGCACATTCTTTTTCAGCTATTGTTTTAAGTTTTTTCTCTAATTTATGTCATTTTTAATAGAACCAATCTTTTTTGGATTTCAGACTTC